GGGCCCGGGCCTGCCTAAGGAGGGATGCAGCCCCTGCAAAATGGATAGGGCTTACGAATGCACCCCACATCTGTGAAAAGGGCAGGGAAGGGCTTCCCCCGAGGAGACTCACCTTTTTTCTCCGTGATCAGCCGCACGAGGACCCCGATGGTGTCCTCGTTCGCTTCTTCCGTCCTGTAGCCTGCACTGTTCCCTAAAAGAGAAGGTCCCGTTGAAAGAGCCCCCCGGGGCTTGCTTGGCACCGAGGCTTCCTTCGCAGGCAAAGGAGGATCCCGCAGAGCGGAGCCACCCTCCGCCCCTCGCCCGGGTCGGTGACCAACCCGTGGATGGAGCTTTTCAATGCGGCCCTCTGAGCCGATCGTTAAGGAGGCCTTAAAACATCATTAAGGAGGCTGGTGGAAAGCATGGGAGGGGGAGGCCAGCACATCTGGAGGGCACCAGATGGGGAAGCTGTGGCTTCAGTTCGTTTGCTTTCTGCGTGTAAGAGGGTGAAGGTGGCAACTTACTTATTGAACAGCTGTCCCACCTTTTGCAGGGCAGTTCAAGGCAGCACGCCTTGCACCCCCTCCGAGCTTCCTCAACCACCCCCCCCTGCGAGGTAGGGTCAGAGCCACTCGAAGGAAAACGAGACGCCTTTCCTCCGTTCCAAAAACATCCAAAGAAATTTTAGGCGCTCAGCTGCAACCTTAACTTATTAGAGTACGACCCCCACCTTTGGTTCGGGGGCTCAAGGGGGTGGAACGTAACATCCCTCCTATTTGGCCCGCAACAGCCACCCTGTGAGGTAGGCTGGGCTGACAGCAAGTACCTGCCCAAAATCCTGGCTGGGGGAAGCCATTTTTAATTTCTCAAGCTTCATCATGGGCTTGTCCTGACAAGGGGGATTCCTCCTTTTCCCTGGAAGGTTTCAAGGGCAAGGTGAAGAGGCAAAAATGGTTTAGTCCAGCCTTTATCAAAATTGACAACTTTAAGATGGGTGGACTTCAAGGCTGGCTGGGGAATTCTGGGAGTTGAAGTCCACCCATCTTAAAGTTGCCAAGGTGGAGAAACACTGGTTTGGTGGATTCCTGCACTGGGCTGATGATGGGAATTGTAGTCCAAGGGGCCCGGTTGGATAAGGTTGGGATGGGATGTGGGGGGGCGGACAGCGCCCCCGTGAAGACTAAGGAAATAATTTAGGAGCAGTGAAAATTCCCTTCTCTGTTGGGTACCAGATCTGATGTCCTTGATGCTCGGCTGCCCAGACACTGTTATGGCATTTCAGAGACAGGAGATGGCGCGTTTGCACCACCCATCTCTTGCCTGGCACCATTAGGGCTGAGAAGATAAGCTGGATGCTGGAACATCTGGACCAGTGTTTGTCAACCTTGGCAACTTTAAGATGGGTGGACTTCAACTCCCAGAGTTGGCTGGGGAATTCTGGGAGTTGAAATCTACCCATCTTAAAGTTGCTAAGGTTGACAAACACTGATCTGGACTGAAGCAGGCAGAGCCAGCTGTGGCTCTGAGAAGCCTCTGGGCCTGAATCCCTAAAGACCCCCAACCATTTTGTTGCATCCAAGACCCAAGCTAATATCGTCCGTCTTTGCTCTTGTAAGAGCAGCAATCCAGCAGGACAGGGGCCGAGGCGTGGAGTTAGAGAAATCAGACTCTGTGAGACTGCCACTGAGAGATTTCCGCCTGAGCAGTGGCAGCGATGCCTACAACGGCCTTCCACGGGGGGAAGAGCCCAGTTCCACATCTGGGTAGGAAAAATGAAAGGCCCAGGCCCAGGCCTTGGAAGGGGCTGGGAAAGGGAGCTGGGTATTCTTGCATTTGCAAGTTGACCTCGAGTCAACCGCGGGAGGCGGCTGCCTTAAAGGATGCCAAGGGCAAAAGGGGGGCAGGAGACGAATTCGGCATTTCCGGGGGTGCCGAAAAGACCTCGCACTTCACACTGGCCACATCCCACTCACCAGTTCTCTCCGACTTGGCCGCCTCCTCATCCATGTCCTTCTGGGCCGTGCAGTGATAGCCCTTTTTCATCAGGAGGTTGCAGAAGAGGATGCCGAGCAAGCCCATAATACAGAACACGGGGACGATGGCCAGGACCGCGTACTGCGTGGCACTCTCCTCTGGCTTCCCGTCCTGGGTGCCGTTAACCGCCGTCTTCTCGCCTTGTCTCAGAAGGGCCTCTGCGTTGCGGGCCAGGCGAGTCGGCCGCTTTCGGGGGCCTGAGAGAAAAACATCAGCAGAAGAAGGGTTGAAGACATTAGCAAGAAGACCCCACAGTTGATGGGCCATCATGAGGCAAATCTGGGATGGGGAGGGAGACAGGTCCTTGGGAGCAGGGAATACTGATTGAATATGGCTTATAATCAATCAATCAATCAATCAATCAATCAATCAATCAATGTGAAGGCCCAGCTCTCTAGAGGAGGCTCTGATGCTAGAAAAGATGGAAGGAAAGAGAAGAAGAGGAGGACCAGCAGCAAAGTGGAGGGATTCAAGGTACAGGGGCAATGGGGGCACCATTGGAAGACCTGAAGGACCAGCTTAGGGAGAGATCCTCCTGGAGAAGATCCATCTATGTGGTCATTAAGAGTCCACACTGACTTGATGGCACATAATCAATCAGTCAATTGTGCTGGCAGACAGATTCCTGAGATCCTACATAATATCCTTCCTACTTTCCTTTGGGGAAGGAAGAATGAAAATTAGTGGAGAACACTGCAAAATCTGGAAACAACCGCAGGGAATCCCAGAAGGGACCGATGCCTGGGAAAAAGACCTCTGCGTGTTCACTGCCTCAGCATGCTCGCGCAACACGCTCCAACCTGTCTCCTTCCTCAAAATTCCCATTTCTCTCCCTGAATGCTTCCTGCTGGCTCCTTCAGGCAATCCCACCTTTCAAAAATGCTGGGACCACCTCCTTTAGTGGCAGGAACGCTGTTTGGAGAAGGTGCACGCAGTTATGTAAGCCAGGGAATTTTCTGCAGATCCCAAGAAACTGACTAGAAAGGATTAAGATTGGATTCAGTGACAAGAGAAGAAATTATGAAATCCAGGAGATGAACTCTCCCAAAGGCAGACGGGAGGGAGGGAAGGTCTTGATGCCTGCTTTATCGGAGACTGGGTCAGGAAAGAATTAAAAAGAAAAAGAAGAATCATTTCACAAGACCAAAGATGGGATGGTTCAGAGCTGTGAGAGTTTGCAAGTAAAAACTGGACTTAAAAATAAATATACACCACAGCTACTGAAGCTTGCAGCCGTAGCCCGGATGGCCCAACCTTTCTTCTACCTCCTACTTCTGCAGTTGTATCTTCTGCTCCTGTGATCAACCCAGCGGACACCAGGCAGGGCTGGTCAGCAACTCGATTTTGGAAAAAATGGGGTCACCCCAGCATCTTACAAGCTGAAGGAGCTTCCATATAGCTTCTGCTAAGGAATGGAGGAGGAATGAAGGAGTTGGAAAAATGGGAGTTGAGCTGAGAATGGAGAAGACATGAGAAAAAGCGGGTTGAAAGGACATCCGATGCTGGGCTCAGGTGCTGAGGATGAAGAGGACAACTGTCATAAAAATAACTACAAGGAGCAGTTTTAATGGAAACAAATGGTGATAAAAATAAGGGAATTGGGGAAAATGATGAGTTGGAGAAATGGGAAGTTCTCTATTTTTTTCCCTTCTCATGGCTCCCAACACTTATTGACAGTTTCCCAATCTATGCTTTCATCTTCCTACTCCTTGCTCAAAGGATTTTCCGATATTTAGAAGCACCTAAATTTTCAGTTTTCACAGACACGAAACAGAAGCACGCGGTGAACATAAATGATTATCCAAAAAGATGGAGCAACTGGGCAGAAATATTGTGAAGGAGGAGAAATCTGATTTTCTGTGTGCAAAATTTCCAGACCCATCTCCCTGGTGACGCTAAGAGCAGGGCAAAGCATCAGTAAGAATTGGTGTTTCATGCCGTCCAGGAGCCTTGAACAAAGCATCTTTTTTCAAAGCATTAATGCAGCTGCATCTTTTGCAAGATTCATGTGGCTGCTTTACAAGGGCTCTGCAATTATCTCTGTACAGGCACAACCACTTCACTTTGCTGGCAGTCTCAGGGAAAGGTTGATCTATCCATATTTACATCCAAACAAGCCTTGGAAGCAGCTGTGCAAAGCCTTGCAAAAGACACAGCTGCTTTAATGATCTAACAAGAGGAGTTTTGTTTGCCATAATGCACATTACAATCCATCTTGTTTGCTTGATTCTAGTAATAACTTCTGATTTTGCAACACGTGAGAATTAACATGATTGATTACTGATTACGTGCCATCAAGTCATTGTCAACTCTTAGCAACTACGTACATAGATTTTCTCCATGACAATCTGTCCCTAACCTGGTCTTTCAGATCTTCCAACAGTAACTAATGTGATAGAGTGTCTTTATTTTCTAAGATGTGATTTACACAGAGGAAAACAAAATAAGATTAAGTAATTTCTATGTACAGTCTTAACGAGGTACCTAAGACCTGCCACAGGTTCATGAATGCTTTGGATTTCTTGAATCTTTGAAAACACAAAGATCTACCCACCACACAGATATAATCTGGGGCGATGCCTCCGGTACTAAGCAGGAAACACAACTGAGCGTCATCCAATTTTCCGGTCCTTGGATGCAACACAATGCCAGCTGGGAATGTGTTCAGCCAAACACCATCATCTCCAGAATGGCAGCCCCAGAGATTAGCAGGGTTCCCACAACACATTCAACCCAGTCAGGTACAGAACTAGTGTCAGCATTTGGACAACGTGTTAGCCTTGGTTAGTTTTAAGAGTTTTTTTTTTCCGGCCTAGCTTTCTATGCAAGCCTGTCTTTTGGCTTAGCTTAGGGTTCAATACATTGTGGGAACCCAGAAAATGGGCTAATGCAGGAATTGTACCACATGAAGCCAGCCAGAGAGAGAACTAACCCTAAAACAAGGGAAAAGAGTTACTTGCTTTACTTTTAGAAGACTTAAAGTTCTTAACTGGAACTTTATGAATGTATGCCATGTAAATGTATTTGTTTATTTATTTAATTTATTTAAATTTATTGGCCATCCAACTTGAGTGGACTCTGGGCAGCGTAATGTGAACTAGTTTTCCTTGTTAGTCTCAAGCCCTAGAAAATGATTCTTGAATGTACAGAAAGCCTTTTATTTGCCATGGATAAATTACAGTGTCAGTCTAAAAGAAGAAAGAGGGAAAGGTGTAATTGGGCCAGCCAGCGTAACTTTCTTTACAAACCAAACTCAGAACACTGGCTAACATAACACTGACGTTTCAATCAAATATAGTAAATTAAAAGCTACTTAGGTTTATTGCGCTTGTGTAAATAGCATCTTTGCAAGACTTGAGGCCAATGGCTTTAAGAATACCTGCTCCTGGAGGAATAAATCCAAATATCAAACATGAGAGACCGAAAGATCCTTGCTGGACACGGTCTTCCAAAGTGCAGCGTAACAGACAGTGGGGAGCAATGCAGTATTAACCAGCAGCAGGATCGAATAATCTCCTTCTGGGCCTCATAAAATATTTGTGTGCTTCAGGGGTGTCCAGGAAGGTCAAAAAAGTCAAGATGGCAGGCACAGGTGGGGGCAGAGCTTCAACTGCACAGCCACCATCTTGACTTTTTTAACCTGGTATGTGCCTTACTCAACCCCCAACCGTTTGGCAGCAATATAGACAGGCATTCAGTGGACTGATTTCTCCACATCGCGTCTCATCTAAACTTTGGGGAAACTTCATGATGCAGGAGATCATTATGAACAACGCAAAATGTTTTGCGTTTTCCAAATGGCAGCCAGGATGGTCAAGCAAACTCCGTGGGCCCTGGGGTCAGGCCGGGGTTTATTTTAGTTTTGCAATGGAGCTTTTCCCCCCAGGCGGCTGAGTTCCCATTTCGGAAAAACAAGAGCCAAAGGATTCATATATTTTTAAATAAATCTATTTGGGCTGTGCATACTGAGCCTCTGATACAAAATAGGTTGAGAAATCCCACCGATAAGCAGGCAGGCAGATCAGCACTGAGAATAAAAGACTTTTAATTTTAATTCATAATTCAAGCATCGATATATGGCCTTCTAATTAACCTTCATTCGGCTGTTTTTGTCTCGGCTGTTGGGCGTCTGTTTGAAGTGTTGAACTGACTATTAACTACACTTGTATAATCTGTTTTATCGTTGTGCTTCAAAGTGACATTTGTAGCTAATTGGTTTTAAAATGCTTTTTCTCATGCTGAGCAGAGGCAAGCATGGAAAACTATTTGTCTTCAGAGGTAACTTACAAATCCTTAAATATACAAACAGATTATCTCAGCCTCTCTAAACGGAGCCCCAAGTCTCAGTTTGCAGGTTAAACCTGACAACACAAAGACTCCCATGAGTTTTGATTTGTGGTGCCTTCTTCCACCATCATCATCATCTGGCTTTGCAGTCTAGCTTGCAGCCATGGCCTTTCCTGGTGGCCTCCCATCCAAGCCCTAACCAGGTCCAACCAATAGGGGAACTGATTTATTGGGTATTGCCTTGGTGCCCCCAAGATGGGTGCTTCTTCAACTCTCATATCCGTCAACTCAGCTGGAAGTCATCACGGTTAGCCCAGCTTTTCCTCCACTTGAATTCCCCCTCCGGGCAGAAAATTTGCTTAGCTTCAGCAAAGTTGATTTATTTTTCAGACGTGTCTATTGACATAATGCCAAAATACAGAGGTCTGTGGGGGGTGTCTGTGAGTCAAATCTGCAAGGTGGTGATACCATCGCCCTGGCTGCTTCCCTTATTTCCTGAAAGCCTTCCAAAATAACTCATCTAATCTATTTGAGTTAAATCCTGCCTTTATTTTTTACAATTTAAGGCAGCATACAATGTTCTCACTTCCTACCTTCCCCACAATAATCCCCTTGTGAGATGGGTTAGGCTGAGATGGGGGGTCTGGCCCAAAGTCACCCAACTGGCTTTGTGCCCGAGGCAGGACTAGAACTCACTGCCTCCTGGTTTCCAGCCTGGGGCCTTCGCCACTGCACCAAACTGGCTCCCTAGACTTATCTAGCTTTTGGAAAAGCAGGTAGGAAGGTAGGTCCCAGTCTAGCCTTGTGGCAGGGAAGCTATTCCACAGGATGGGGGCCACCACTAAAAAGCTGCTTCTGGGCACCTGCTACCCCCTCCCCACTGAAAACAAGGAACTATCAGTAAGTTTTCCCATGAGGAGCACCATGAAGGGGTTGATTCTACTTGAAAGAGGTAGTTCTGCAGGTATGCAGTGATCACATCCCAGAGGGCTTCATAGGCATGGAGCATGAACAAGCCCTTGTTTGAAATTCAGCCTGAACGGAATGGCAGCCCCTTACCCTGTTTTGCTCTCACCTTGACATCCAGGCACCCCTCTGGGGGCAGACAGGCAAGGGAGGCAAGTCGCTCTCGGATCCGGACTGTAATACCTGCAAGAAGCAGAAAGAGAAGATGTAAGAAAAATCTCGGGCTAGAAAAGAAATGGGAGGATGTCAAAACGTTAGTCACGACCAGCAGGTGGATGTTTCGACGACAGTCTCATTTGAGAAAAGGACAGTGACCCCTTCGGTTTTGCATTCTGGGAAAAAGAGGGTCCAAATGGCTCTCGGAGACCTTGCCTTACTAAATTCAGTAATAAATCCATGCTAAAGTTTTGCCTTATTCACTTTTCAAGGTTCTGTCCATTAACCCCTTATCTTCTTGACCGTAACTAATGACACTCGTGAATCTTTCTAAGCGGCTGAACGGCAGATGCTTCGAGGGGTCTACGGCTGCCCAAACACACCTGATCAGGGCTGAGTCGTGTCCTTTCCTGCCAATCCTCTGCAAGCAACCTTCGCACGGCTTGGCGTTGGAGTTGCTTGTATTCTGAGAACACGTGCCTTGTCTGCACAGGCAGCTGATTCGGCTCTGAGCCTTCCTTGTGAACGAAGGAAGTGAGCTGGGATCCGATGCAAACAAACCGGACGCTCCACTCCACGCGAAAAATGCTTGTGAGCCAAGCAAGGTTTAATAATAATGCCTGCTAATTCGTCGACACTGATCCATATTCAAGAGCCGGCAACCTACAGACTTGAGGGTAACATGCTATAAAAGAAATGGACGGGGGTGGGGGGGCAGGCACTGTGATTGAAAAAGGAGGAGGACGTGGGACGCTTGAGAGCCAGTAAAAATGTTGCATTGAGCCCAGGGCAAAATGCCGGTGTGGTGAAGTGGTAAAACTGCTGGGCTGGGACTTACCCAGGAGAGAAGCTCCCAGGGGGACTTTGGGCTAGTCCCTCCCTCTCAGCCCCAGAGCCAATGTGGGGTAGTGGGGAAGGTGCTGTACTAGGAGTGGGGAGAGGAGAACCGGGTTCTAATCTCCCCTCAGCCACAGAGGCTCCCTGGAGGATTCTGGGCCAGTCTCTCTCCCTCTTGGCTACCTCACAAGGTTGTTGTGAGAGTGGGAAGACCCAGGTTCTAATCCCCTCTTAGTTGTGGAAGGTCCTGGGGGACTCTGGGCCAATTACTCTCTCTCAGTTTAGCCTACTTCACAAGGTTGTTGGGGGGAAAAGTACTGTGTTTTGATATGAGATCCATCCATCCATCCATCCATCCATCCATCCATCCATCCATCCATCCATCCATCCATCTCCTTATCATCTCTCAACTATCTATTCCTCTCTCTCCACCCCATATCTATCTATCTATCTATCTATCTATCTATCTATCTATCTA